TAAGGAATAGGAATATATTATACAGACAAAGCAGTAATCCGTTTGTAAAGATGTATTTATACAAACATATAATAATTGCCGTTGGAATAGATACAGTTGTATAAACTAAATTTATACTAACGGATATATTTTTCCGTTGGTACAGACCTAGGCCTATACTAATGGATATATTTTTCCGTTGGTATAGACCTATGTATACTAACGGCATAAGTTTTCCGTTGGTATATATGACCTATAGAGACGGATTTTTTATCCGTTGGTATAAACTTCCGTTGGTATAGGGCATTTTGTTTGTAGTGAGCTTAAGAAACCTTCACGAGCCGAGTCACTACATATAGTTATTGTTAAGGCATTCAAATATTTCAAGCACTCAAGTCTGCTGAAGTTGACATTCCCATTTATCACTCTACTAGCGCAAAGACCAGTCCTCCCCATCCGCAACACTTGCAGCCTTGAAAAACCATAAATTAGTTTTTCAGGGATTGTCCCAAGATGTAATGTTCCCTCCAAGTTCAAACATTTCAACTTTGATAAGGAACTCAACTCCATCGGCAACTCTTTTATACCAGTCCAACAGATATTGAGACACTGCAAGGAAACTAAATTTTGGCATATCATTTCTGTTAGTTAATGGTACATGTAGGTAGATTTTTAATGGAAGAACTAAGTTGGGGTTAAAATGGTAAACAGTAAAGAACAAATTAGAGATTTTTTGAGTTGAGGGACTCAATCTAAAATCCATACAATTGTTGAGAGACCAAAAAAGAGATTTAACCTTAGTTTTATCCTCTACTTTGTAAGTGGAACTAAGAATTTCCACCGATGAAGAGGCATATGTCTGATGTCTCTCGAAATTAGAGGTGGCCGTTGCAATTTTTCCTTGTATAGTGTCACTTATTTTTTTAAAAATATTTCATTAGTATCAGATTCTGCCTTAGAAAAATCAATGTATAATGAAAATCTAAGTGTGTTGTGTGATGGGTTTAATGAAACTAGATAACATTTATTTTTCGCATGCCCTTATAGTAACCAGGTTTAGCAGAGGGTCTTGAATGCCTGGAACATGGTACGGCTGCCTGTGATCATGGAGTTGGCCAGTGGAGTGGCATTGGTATGTAGGCAGAAATGCAAGAGGGAAGCTGTTAAGAACTGCCTTTGCTGCATCAATTTATTGCATCTTGGTGGAACGAAACAGAAGGTTATTTGTCGAAGAAAGTTCTTCTGAGAATGTTATAAACTGATCTTATTTTGCATCATATTAGACTAATATCCTAGTGACTTAGAAGTGAAACAACAGCTTTGTTTTGATTTCTTAATTTTGCGATTGTATAGCACAGGTATGTCTGGGAATGGATTGTGAGTGTCCAATCTGGGATTTGGATTAATACAACCAGACTTGTCCTTGTCCCCCCCAAAATAATAATAATAATAATAATAATAATAATAATAATAATAATAATGCACAATCCTTTCCGTACATATATATTTAGACATATGCTTTTGTTCATATGTATGATAACTTGTTTTAAGAAGTGGCAAAACTATGATAAAACAAAGAGATTAAAAGCACACCATATTAACTGCTGACGCTTAAAATAAACTTATTAGGCACAACCAAGGTGATAGTTTTTAAAGGTAAAGAAACCAAAAATCTGAACCTGTGCAACAATGTTAACTGAAGGTGCCCACTTCTGGCTAGTCACATTCTTCAGTGATGACTTCTCAAATGTATCTATAGGAGGGTAAGGAAGAGAAGAAAAGGGAACACTTGGAACAGATATTTCATTTCATGGATTAAGAAAATACACACTTAACAACTGGTGAATGTTGATAAATTTAAGTTAATATTAATTCTGAACGTTATTTTCTAAAGCCCTGAAATGAAAAACAAAAGATAACGCATGTACCATTGCCAGATGAAAATTAATTTATCTTCAGAATTAGCATATCAATTGAAAGGATGCATTAAATTTATGTAAAACGAATTTTGTATATTCAGTACTCAAATCCACAAAAGAATTAATATATAATGCACATGTTAATGTTATTGCCAAGCCAAACAGAAGCGCCCATCAAAGAAATCAGAATTAAAACAATTGAATCAATCCACCTATTTAAATATATGAATTAGTTGACTAAACTTTACAAATGTTCAATTATGAAATGAACAAACGTTTGTGCCGAAAGGACCAACGGGATTGTTTACATCTTCAAGAATTTTCCTCCCCTAAGCAAAACAATTAGAATCAGACCAGATTTTAGCCACCTCTCAATCAACAAAAGAACATAACGTAATCATAAACCTACAGAAGTAATAAAATCAATTTTACCTCTGAAAGTATGAATTTAATCTTAATGAGATGTTGAATTCTATTTCATTTTCTAAGTAGCTAAACAGTGCTTTAAAAAACAAAAAAAAAAAAAAA